ATTTGGTTTGAACATGTTGATTACTAACTGGGTCGTCGTATTAACTGACACACTGGCGCCTAATCAGAGTGCTAGTCAGCGATGCAGGGCCCTCGGATTACATCTTCCTGTCAATGCACCACGCCATTGGCTACTTGGTGAATTAGGTCATTCGAAGTTAACCCAGGCTGATTCGAGCGGTATCCCCATTGGTCATGCTGCAATTTTAACTCACTCGCGGTTACCTGTGCTGTGGTTTTCGACCGATCCTACAACACTGCGGTCCAGGTGTGGTTCAGGACCACAAAGCAGGTCCCTTTGACAACTTACGAACGCACTCAACACTCGAGACGCTTTTCTAACTTCACGACGGAGTCAACACACCAACGTAACTAAATTGGATGGATTTAAGAGTGCCTACGCGAAGAGATGCTCTCGTGTTCAAGATGTGCTTAGACTAAGTGTGTGTGAGTTGGTTCCTTCGGGTTGACATGGCTAAACCTTAGTCGTCAAAGCCTCTTCTGCGTTTAGATTCGAATACCAAGCAGACTGTTGATAAAGGAGAAACCGCGAAAGGTCCAAACTTTGATAAATTTTAACTTGGTAAACATAATCTCGGTAACACGGTTAGTCTGAGGGTTGGTCGCCAGAAGTTGAATACTTGTTAGTGTCAGGTTCGACTGGTGGAGGTATTTTAGGTGAATTCACATTAACACTTTCAGTTTATGGATTTCAGAGCATGAATCAACTTGTGGAAATCGAACCTTACATAAAACTAAAAGAAAAAGTTATTCTGCATAAGAATAGATAGCTGGTTCACACACCTGTTTGTTAAAAGTCTGACAAATCAAAAGTGGAGAATACTGAAGAACACTGCCAAGTTGCTGAGGTACTTGAGAGCGTACTTTAACAGCACTCTGTACCACTGGATCGCCGCGCAATCTGCAGCGATGTTACTCACTCTAGTCGAGCAATTGCCCTAACTTACCAATCGGATTGATATACCATCCATAAGTAAATAAATTCATTTGTAATAGTGCAAATTAATAAATGAGATTTAATAATTCACCGTGGCCTAATCCAGCATTACGGCCACATGCATAAGGGACAATAAGGTACGTATGCAGGTTCAATTATCGTACCTAAAAAGGGGATATGAGACTTTAAGGATGTCCAATTGACAGACAGATGGTTCATAAAAGTGCTGCCTAAATGTCTTTTGGCCCTTTTTCACCATCACATCCAGAGCCCCGTGGCTGCTGACTCAGACCACACCCAGTTGGCACTCAGAGCCGCGTTTTTTTAAGGTATCTCGTTGGCGTTGGTCCTATCACACGGTAGAAGCATTGTTGGGATTCAAAGGCGTGTCGCGCAGTTACACACATGTGTGTTCCAGAGAATAGGTGTATCTGAAACTGAATTCACGGATGCTCTGTAAGCTAGTGAAATGGTTAAAGTGAAAGTTAGAGTTCGCCAGGAGATCAACTGGACGAACACGTTGGGAAGAAAGGATCAGTTCTGTCAAAAGCCAATTTTCAATTATCTGCAATGTCCGAAATTATATTTTGAGTTGTCTTCGGTTCCACACGTTGAATTTACCGTGTGGAAACTTTCGGACACATATATGCAAGCCGAAATTTGCTAGTGTTTTGATGATATTCACAGCAGGAAACTTATTACTAGCAGTGCCTGGAAACAAAATTGCCAATTCCAAATTTACAGGTAGTTCCATGATGTAAAATAACAAATCTACACCGAGTTTGGTGATAACTCAGGATTTATACTAATCCAAGTACTCAGGACAATTTTTCAATCGTTTGTGACAAAAAGATTTTGAATCTCGGTAATATTTTAATTGTGCATGGAGGACTTTTAAGGCTTCTTCATGTAAGCCTTAAATTATGCTACACTGAAGATCAAGAAGACAGCAGATGGTGAAGACACATCTGTTTATTAGTTGGCCCATTTCTGCACGTGTGTTCCATATCGTGTGTGATTAATTCAGTTGTCTATCGCTGCAGTTGGTGTGACCTTGTGAGGGTACAAATGTCCAGATGAATGGAATGGGTCGTGGGGGCGACACACACAGAGCCCTACGTGATTCATGGGCCGATGTGGAAAGGGGGCAGCGTGCCAATGTGTCCGACGCCGGAACGGTTGAACGTGAATCTACAGGATTCATTCGCCGTGGTAGATGGTTTCTTGCGAGGCTTTTCTTCCAACAGGAATACGATAAACGAGTCGATGGGATTCGACTCGACCTGGACTGTTTACTGTAATTGGAAGAGGATGGTGGGTTATTCCAAAAGATGACCAAGGCAATGCAGCATTACCGCAAAAAATGCAATCAGGACGTCGTTCAAAAGCTAACTTTTTTGCGAGTGGTTGTCTTCCGCAGTATATGATTGCTGCCATTTTCAACCAATGGTAAATTAAGGCAACCAGATGTTGAGGTGGCAATTTGAATTACATGAACACCAAGTTATTATTGCTGACAGCTAGAGTTTGACCACAATTGCATTCATTTGGTGCAACGCACCAGATCTTTTGTCCTATAATAAACAGCTGAGGAATTGAAAAATATATTTTGAACAGTGTGAATTTGGAGTCTTACCTCCACACCGACACAATTAGGATTGCAGGCCACTTCTTTTGCAACATTTTGCAAATCAGGCTTTCCCAGAAATTATTCATAGCCCGAGTGCACTATTGTCTACTTAAAATCTACATCAGTGGATGCTATGCGCAATGATTTAATTTGCATACATCTTTTGGAGACACTGCGATGAACCTCGTGAAAAATTATGACGCTATCAGAGTTGCAGCAAATAGTAAATGGTATTGGTTTTGTGCTAGTCCCAACATCCGCCACGTGATAGAGGACGTAGCATCACTGTTGACGGCGTTAATGGCAATTATTTCTTAGGGTCTACCTAGAGCAATGTTTCTTGTTGTAGTTATCGATTACTTTGTAGGCCAACTCACAGCTGACAAGGTAGCAGATTATTCTTGTGGTGTTCCTGTCGACGTCAGCGGTGAAATGGTGTCGAGGAATGCCAATCCAGTGCCTTAGAGATATTCCTCAGTAGAAGTTTGTTTCGATGCACTGATCCACCACCACGTCGAACATGACCTTGCCATGTAGGCATGCGAATGTTTCCACGACTCATAGACTATTTGTCCCAACCTCACCTGGTGTACCAGATTTTACACTGAGACTCCAGGCACCTGGACTGTACTGAAGACATGGCAGATCCTGTTGCCCGCAGCTTCCGACCCATGATCCTCGCTACAGATTACAACGCAACAGACCACGGTTTGGTATGTCGCTTAAGTCGCAGAACTTAGTTTAAGGTGCTGTTTTGGTACTTATTCAAGCATCCAGTAAGCGTTCGGAGGATCAGATTCACAAATCGATAACAATTCAAGTCTGTAGTTGGCTTTGCCTCCTTATGTAAAGTCAAGGATTGTGATAATGCATAGGAATCGATATGTTCATTGGTCCAATTAAAATTGTCAACTATGTTAAATTATTGTCTGAAGTGATTTATTCCGATCGTGAGATGTTAAGACATTAATGGGTAAAACTACCCAATCATTATGTCCTATTAATTTACGCGACGGGGAATCGAAAATGAAGCTATTTCCCTACGAATGCATTCATCTCACTTTGAGTGCTTTTAATGCAAAATCGAATTGATTTACGTGGCGACAAAGACTAAACGAATGCCATTGCACCAAGTTTCAGTTATTCAATGCGTGGGCTTTAAAATATGTCTACACAGTGAATGAAATCTCGATGTCTCCACCTACGAAGTACTACTTAAGTATATTGGGTGTGGTTCTAATGGCGGTTTGATTATAAAATACTAAGGAAAAGGCAAAATGTTTGCCTTTACAAGGCGTGAGTCAACTGGTTTGTATAAATAACTTATACAAATTGGAGTACATTGCGTTATGAGGCAGTTGACTAGTCTTGATAGTGTGCCCTGCCCTTTAATTTCTTTTATTAAATTATTGAAACCCTTGAGATCCGTTTGCATTCTCTAAAAAACGGAAATATCTTGACGCAGTTGCGGAGTTTTATCAAGTTAATGCTTTATTGTTAAGGTTCACGTTCATGTGAAGATCACAGTGGTCTTCATTTCCTCACTTTAACTTTCATGATAATTCAGATGCAGGTGTTACTTATCCTTCTGCTTAGCAATATATTTTTCCTCTGATTTCTGGGCAAAAAAAGAGGTTGACTAAGGGGTATGTTTGTCCAAGTCAGAGTCGCTGCATGCACACAGGAAGACACAACTCGAAGTACACCAATTAGAATACCACAAACGTGACCGTTTGGAAAGCTTCGTAAGATTTTGTGAGAGTGCAGAAAGTTGGGACTGCCGATGTGCTGCTGGCGTGCATATGGACGGCTATATCGATTAATGGCCTTTATGAGAAATAGTCGAGTTACAGACAAGGTGGAAAAATAGGAGCAGCTGGATTAACAGATGTAAAATGAGAATATCAAGGATAAAACGATTTAGACATGCAAGCAAGTATTGTTAGGCTGCGTTAATGAGTGTTTTCTTCCACTGTATATATCTTGAAATTGGAGAAAGTTTTAAATGAACATATACGCTGCTGTTAATAATGAGTACATGGATGAAATAAATTAGATTAAAGCACCAATGTCGCTGCTCAGAAACACGAAAATGGATTCAGGTTTTGCAGACTACATTAATTTTTGATGACGAAGTCAGTAAATTCAATCAACAGTGTCAACTCTCTTGAAACCACCTGCAGTGTTTGTACTCAATTTTAACATGAGATTCTGGAAAGTCTTAGACTGTATTCCTTTGAAAACAGCAAAATTGGAACGTAACCATCGCAGGGGGCACTGACCATCACTCTCATGACTGAGAATGCCATATATGCCTGGAAAATACTTACGGATAGTGACGTCAGTTAAATGGAACAAGAAAAGCAGCTAGCAATGCCATTAAACCCTGAGCGCAAATTCTATTTAGGTGGCTCCGATCAGGTGAAATCAATGGATTTGTAATAATTATCGTAATTTTGTAAGTTGATATTTAATAGTCAGCGCGCATCAAAATGTTTTAATCTTTAAAGTACTTCCATATTTATACCTACTTCATATGCAGGAAATTTCGAAGTTTGCTCAATGTTCAATCATGTATTCTGGTTGGAAATGAAGAAGTTGTGAAAAGCAGTTCACTGAATTCATATCTAGCTGTTGCAGGGGCTTGTGTTTAGGGCCTAGGTATCTTTGTTGCAGACTGCCCACAATTTTCTAAATATTTCATTTTAAGCGAGAGGCTGGCAAGTATCCTAAAGTAGTCCAAAATCGTCCATATATTTTCACATTACCTGCATTTATGCATCCCGATATGTGGCGACTAACGTCTATATAATGCGAAACAGTCAAAATTAAACTAAAAGAGGTCATATCTGTCATTTTTGCACCTTATATTAGTACACATTTTGTGTTAATTTTTTTGATAAATCCGAGAATATTTGTGGATGCATATCCAATTCCCAAGAATATTTGCTGTACATCAACAGATTAGATTAAGAATAAATTAAACAGCATTTAGATAATGCTTAATGTCAAAGCATTGTAATTCAAAGGGCCGGTATTATTATTGATTTGTTTAAATATACCGTTGTATATTATCTAAAGGTCTTACGCAGGTATAAAAGAATGTGTAAGAAGTCATCTTCACCGTGGAGCTATTGGTCGGAGGATGGATCTTACATTATACCTATGGATGCTGGTATTAGCTTTTCCTATCTGCTCAAAAACCAGTTAAGTCAGCTTTGGAGCCTTATGCCTGCTTTTTGCTTGAATTGTTATAGATGTCCAAAATGCTTTACTTATTAATGCACCTGTTTACTATGTTGTTGATTTTTGACAGTTTATTTATAAGTTTAATCAGTGCAAACATATAAATGTCACATAATGTTAGAATGTCGATTGTTATTGGCAACTGTTTAGACCGTCTGCGTGTTTCCCATGTACCCTATTTGATATGTATGTAAATATATTACTGAACACCAAAGTCTGTCATATTATCTGACGTAGATTTTTAGGCCTACATTAAAGTAGTACTTGAAAGTGGGAGGAATCGTCGTGAACACTGAGTTACGTATTGGTCAGTATTGTTAATCAGATCCAATGTGTTTGAATTGATTTGAAGGTAGTTTCAGGTTCCGAGCACTTGAAATCACGTTTATTCGTGCAATATAAGGTTACTACACTAAAATGGGTTGAAGATTACGTACGAATGCCAGATGATGACGACAAATGTTTACGAAAAACGCAGCAGAATTCTTAGTGGTAGTCGGTTTCTTCTTTTTTTGTCAAAAAGAATTTTCAGCTGCTGTTATTTCAATATTTGTCTTTCACACATGCTCCAGAGTTATAATGTGGAATGCGTATTTGAGTTGTATGAATGTATGTGTTACTAAGGTGTATTTTGCAGCTGACTAACAACTTGTTTTGTTTTCTCAAGTGGTTTATCAATTGGTAAATTCAAAATTGATTTTGCTTTCTCACCACATATTTACAGGCATTTGTTGCATTTTAGACATTGTTAAATCAACTCTAGCAACAGGACCACTGATTATAAATCAGAACGCCGATGGGACCCCAGGTAACCCGTTTTCTGACTTTCATTTTTGTCATATCGCCGAAGTTAAAAGTAGACAAGAAATGCAGATCAGGAAATATCTCGTGTAGGTTTAATGCTGAAGGCATTAGTATGCGATCCACTTAATGTGTTTCTTTTGAGGTAAAGTTACTCGGCAAATTTTTTTTAGAGTGATGCTGAATATGGTAATTGCTCTAGGAAGTCTTTGTCGTAGTTAATTTCATAATTGGATTGGTTAATTTTAATACAAAGCCAGTAAGTTCCATATGTAGGATGCGGAATGCATTTGGAATACAATGCAAGCATCAGCTAAAACAAAGGTGTAAGGGATAAACATATGCAACATAAAAATCCTGGAAAAAAATTAAAACTAACTGAGCCTATCAAGTGTTCTTCAATAAAGTGGCAAGAAATTGCGATTGTTAGGATTATTATTATTATGCATAATTTGAACTTAAAACATAAAACAATCATCCCACTGTGATCATTGTGAATGCGCATACATAGAATAAGACGTATTCACGATCATAAAATTCATTTTAGAACTGGCAGAACCGGAATCTGTTACCGTGGAGCCAGATACGTCGTCGTCAGTGCTGGTTATTGTTCAGCCACCCGCCGACGCTCAGAGCATTGTCAGTTACAAGGCCTCCATTGAAGGAGGAGACGATGCAGATAAAGCCTGTGAAATGACAGATGTGAACAAGCCGAGTTGCGTTATTGGTGGCCTGAAACCGGCCGCCAAGTACACGGTCAGAGTCGTGTCCTGTGCAGAATCTGCAAACTTGGTCAGGTGCACTAAGGGAATAACTGGATCCGGATGGACAAGACCTACCAGTAAGTGATTGCGTTGAACAACTGCAACATAGCAAACTGATTCGCTTTAAGCGGGTACACAAAAATGCAATATTTTCATCAGCAATTTTAGACGCCAATAGATAAAAAGAATCCTTTAATGATAAAGGAATATAAATGGCAAGAAGTTTAACCACTTTAATTCGGGGCCACAAGCACGACTTTGGCACTGTGGGTGTAATTCTAAAGCGGTGTCTTGTCAAATGTTAGAACTTTGTCGCAAAGGCTGGCAAAACGTTTTTGCTACGTTACTGGTGTTTATCTCTTGACTGCCTTCTTTTAGCTCCAAACGCGCCAAAGTTTGTGGACAGTGAGAATAATTCCATAACGTGGAGCTTTGAAAAATTGGCCGACGAGACTAAAACGTACCAGTACACACTTCAAGATGAAATGAATTTAACCCTTTCAACATGCCAAATTGACAAGTTGCAATGTCAATTGAAGAAGCTGAAACCATCCTTCACGTATACCGTTTTCTTGGTTGCCTGTTTCACTGAAGAGGAGCAAATGGTTTGCAGCGAGAAATCTGACGCGCAGGTCTCAAGTACCCGGCCACAACGTACGTTTGCCCGTAGCTAGTCTATGTATAACATGTTGAGGGGAATATGGTGGTATTCACTTGGCAATGTTAGTGAAGGGCAAGCATGGCTATATGACGCCAACTCATAACGGCCATGTGTGAAGCCCAGTGCGTATCAAGTGGGTTAGTTTGTGAAGCAAGCGAGGGATTGCTTGAGGCCAGTAGGCTTGACACGTGACATGCGAGTGTCCCAGACAGTAGATGTGTTTACGTGAACAGACTTCAATTGGTTGTAGTTAAGGAGTTGAGATGATGGCACGAAATTGAAGGAAGGAGGGCAAGTCGAAGAACGCAAATCGATTTTCTAGTAGGTTTTAAATATTTGGTTCAGGAGATGATGTGAGCGTTGATGCTTGGTTGAGGTGGGCGGGCAGTTGACTTGGTTAGTGGATAGTTGTGTTGGTGGATGATGCACTTGTTGAAAAGCACTGATGTCTGAATTGTAGCGCCTTTTAAAGTGTCAGTAGAAGGGACATCGACGCAGTCGGTGAACATCAGAGTGCGTCCAAGAAGTAGTGCTGGAAATGTCGCACGTTACGTGGCAAAGATAGAAGGCCTCGAGGATAAAACTTGTGTAGCACCTGCCGAATACCCTTATATATGCAATATAAGGGGTTTGAGTGTGGCGACGCAGTACACGGCAGTTGTTTACTCGCATTTGGGTGAGCCGTTTTCGGCGCTGTCAAGTCGCGAAGGTACAAATGGCAGTGGATGGACTCTTCCTGAAGGTGAGTTTGCGAATGAGCAGTGCAGTGGTTTGCATGAAAGCGCAGTGTGGGTCATTTTGTTGAGATGTCTGAGGGTAGATGTCTGAAGGTAGGTGCCGAATGGAATTTAATGGAAACGAAAAATGGCTAATGACATTACCTGAAATGAAGGTGTGAGGAATGAGTGGAGTGGACGGTTAATCTGGGGACGCATTATGATGGCAATTTCGGAAGACACTGGCGAGACCATGGAGAATGCCCTGCTGTAGTTTTGTTGAGTGGAGCCTGTTTGGCAGCGCCGGCAATTGTAGTTTCACATTGGTGAGAGCTTAGCTGAAGTGAAACAACTTAAGCGGAAACAAATTGACATGTCAGCCAGATAAATGACTTCCACGGTTCTCTCTTTGTCTGCTTAGAACATCTAACATGCGGTGTGGTTGATGTCAACTAACAAAGGCCTATTGAATTTGTACTTGTAGCCCCGAAGGATCTAACTCTACTGCCACTTTCGACGTCGACGGTCACTGTGACGGTCATACCTCCAGACGACACGACAGGCATTGACCGCTACGAAGTGGTAGTGAAGTACATCAGTGAATACAAAAATTGTACAATTGAAGTCAGTGAAGGCTCGTTGGAGTGTAAATTCGACGGTCTGACAGCAGGGACAAATTACACTTTCGAGGCTATGTCGTACCTGGAGAATTTCGTACACAGTGCCGCGTATTTGGCGTCAGTTTGGACGAAACCAAACGGCAAGTTTGCATTACAAGTAGCAAGACGTCATTCCTCTCTATCTCTCAGCACAAACTGGCATTAGGTTTGAGGATTTGTACTAATCAGTTGACCCCGTAGAGCTGTGCTTGGAAGTTGGTAGGTGTGGAATCGTGTAGTGTCATAGCCGAGGAGAGTCAATTAGTGGATGCATCACAATCTGAGAGTGGTCATACTTGTGTTCGCCATGACTCACAAACGAACATTGATGGTTGCAACCAAAAGTGACTTGTTTCCAAAGCCTGTAAAGAGAATGGAGTCGAATATGTATTGGATGGTGCCTTCGTGGCGAGCACCAAACGCATGTTCGCCAGATGCGTGTTGCGCGAATTGGCGAATTCACGGGGAGTAGTAGTGAACTAGTAGACATCGCATTGAGTAAATCGGAAATCGATCATGAGATGCGCACAACTAGGCTGGAGGCATCGGGTAGATTGCGGATCTCCTTTGGATTTCAGGTGAGCTGGCGCAGCAGCCTAGGTGGTTTTTTTCATTATTGACCACTTTCATGGATTACTTGAAGGAGTGCCTAGTTGCATTGCCTAGACATTGTGTACCGTAAGAGAAAGGTATTTTTCCTTGTTAAGATGATAATTTGGGATGTCATTGAGTTGCAAGATTGTGTGTATTGGGTTGACAGGGCAGCGATATATAATGGGCGAAACTTGTCCAATATATTTCCAACCTGTTGAACGAGGTCAAAATTCGTTAACCGAGTGGTATAGAAGGCAACACAAATCTGTGCAATTGGATCTCCTTAGGATGCTTTTGGTTGTGAGTACGAAGATGAAGTAAGAGACGACATTGGAGAGCGCATTGCCAAATGTGGAAGGGGTTGAAATGACAAGTTGAGATTGCTTTCTCTTTTGGCAGAGCCAGCATCTGTGACCGTGGAGCCAGACACGTCGTCGTCGGTGCAGGTTGTTGTTCAGCCACCAACCGAAGCTCAGGGCATTGTCAGCTACAAGGCTTCCATTGAAGGAGGAGACGGTGTTGATCAAGTCTGTGAAATGAAAGATGTGAACAAGCCGAGTTGCGTTATAAGTGGATTGGAACCGGCTACCCAGTACACTGTCAGAGTCGTATCCTGTGTAGACCCCACGAATCCTGTGGTGTGTGGTGAGGGTACAACTGGATCTGGATGGACGAGACCTAACAGTAAGTGATTTTATGCTAAGTATCTACATGAAAAATCATGTCTTAAACTGTTCTGGATTAATTTATGCATAATTGGTTTGTTGGTAATTTCACGCATAATGATTGACATCAAATACAGTTTTAATCATTTCTTAAATTTGTATATGTGTTGAACATGCCTGTTAAAGTGCTGTTTTAGAAAATTATGCTTTTGAATTTAGCCGTCTTTTCTGTGTACATTTAGCAACATATCATTGTTCATGATTAGTGCAGTGCAGCGTGGATAAGATGCTAATTTTAACAACATAAGTGAAGGCTGCAATTTACCTGTATTGGCATACGTCCTTGAACCAAACTGTATTTTTAACTTCAGAACCAGAATCTGTGAAGGTGGAGTCCGATTCGACGACATCTGTGGCAGTCACATTTAAGGCACCAGCTGTGAGCACAGGGATAGGCCGGTACGAGGTGTATCGCGATGGAGACGAATCAAAGCCAGCTTGCTCCATTGCATCTGACGCTCAGCTCAAGTGTCAGTTGACAGGCTTGGAAGCTGCCACAGAGTACGGAGTCAAAGTGAGAGCCTGCATTAGCGATGTGGACCCTGCAGTCTGTAGTGAGGATGTGATGCAGTCTGGATGGACGAAGCCAAACAGTAAGTTAGCGTTGGCATAGTGAGGTGAAGGCCTAACTTTATGCTAGAATAACGTTGGCAATGGAACGTTCCCATATCACTTGTGAGAAAATTTTATTCATTATAACAGAACCAGGATCTGCGAAGGTGAATCCAAGTTCAACCTCATCGGTAACTGTCACATTTGAGGCACCTGCAGACGCGAAGGGAATTGGCCGTTACGAAGCATTCGTTGATAAAGATTTAAGTAAATCGTGCAAAACATCATCGTTGGACGCGCTCAGCTGTGAGATAGAAGGCTTGGAAGCAGGTACACAATATGAGATCAGTGCCACAGGATGCATTGCCGACACAGATCCTGCAGTGTGTAGTGAAGCGGTGGCTGGGTCAGGATGGACGAAGCCGAGCCGTGAGTACCTATTCGGTGTTTTTGTAAAATTCGCACTTTTGGCATGACGCAGAGATATACACGCTGTATTTTTTATTTATTTCAGAACCAGAATCTGTGAAGGCGGAGCCAGAGTCGACGACATCTGTGGCAGTCACATTTAAGGCACCAGCTGTGAGCACAGGGATAGGCCTGTACAAGGTGTACCAAGATGGGGATGACTCAACTCCTAAGTGTTCATTTAAACCCGAAGATGAGCTGAAGTGTTCAGTGACAGGCTTGGAAGCGGCCACAGAATATAGAGTCAAAGTGAGAGCCTGCATTAGCGATGTGAACCCTGCAGTCTGCAGTGAGGATGTGATGCAGTCTGGATGGACGAAGCCAAATGGTCAGTTGCAACTGCTATAATTTCATTTTAGTGGCTTCTTGATCCTTCCTTTATTAACGGAAACTCCATCACAACATCCGTTATTTGAAATTGTGCCTGTTATTCTGGCATCAAATTAAATGTTCTATTGCCTACACAATTCGCAGCTTTCATGGTAGACTTGTGGCCTACTTATCTGAGTAAGAACTAGGTTACATTGAGGAGAAGTTTAATTTCTCTAATGGCCATATTGTTACATTTTAGCTCCAAAGGAAGCAGGAGTTGGTACTATTTCTGCGAGAAGCATTTATGTGAGTTGGTCAAAACTAGAAGATGGGTATAAAAATGTACGGTTATTTGAAGCATTGGCAAGGAAGATGGTGAGAGAAGGTACTCCGACTGATGAGCCAAAATGCTCTGTCAAAGCCACAGCCGAAACGTTGGGGTGTTCCATTGACAACCTCAGTCCTGGTACCCAATACACGATACTTACGAGATCTTGCATCAATGCGAATCTATGTGGAGACGAAGTGCTCGTAGCCAGCATAACCACCCTTCGTGAGTCCTATGCCCTTCTTAAAGCTACGGAATAAACTAAACTTGTTTATTTTAAGGGTACTCACTGATAAATGATAGAGAAAACAAAGTGGCTTTTAGGCGTGGTAGGACGAGAAAGTTGTTTTATATCTGATTTTTGTTTGTTGCGAGGAAATTGATTTTCAATTGAATCGTACGCTACAAGTTTAGTGTCGTATGTGTCATTACACAAAGGAAACCGTTAACTTACGCTAGCTATTTTGGCATTTAGAATTGTAATTAATCGATTTCCCAATGTCGATTGACAGCAAATAAGTGTTTGATGGTTCTTTCCCAGATTTGTTGATCTTTTAATCTTAACCAAACTTTTGAATTTAGAATAAATAAGTGAATCACTTTTAAGCCAAAAAAATAGCAATTTACTTCGATGTGAAATTGGTGATGGTACTTAAAGAATGTTTTTTTGTTTCCAGAGGAGTCTCCGAATTACGTGCTAATTATCAGCTTGGTTGTGGTTTTCTTCGTCCTCATCATCGTCATCATTTTGTCTGTCGTATTCGTCAAAAGACGAAAGTCGCGCAGCTATGACGTCGATGACGACCAGAGCGAGTTAGTTAATTTTACTTAACGTGTTGAAGATTGTTGGAAAAATGTGAAGTTGGAACGAGTAAGATTAGTGATATTGAGGCTACCAGAGTGAATAAGGATGGAGTGTGTGCGAAGATTGAAATTCAATTTGTTGCTTTAGAGAATTGAAAATCCGCGCAATGTTCGCCCAACCTTAACTTATTTAAAGTCAATGAGTACCATTCACACACCTGAGTCTTTAAATAGATAACAAACCTACGTGAACCACTGTAGACCGTAAGAATTTATCCAGAAAACACTTTGTGTTTTACGCGAAAATTTCGAAATTAAGTCTAGCAGTTTGGTGATGTGTGATGTTTGGTGAACACGAGAGCGTAGATGGTTGGCACTCCAGAGATGAATTCAATGGCTCCGAGGTTGAGATATTTCCAAGACCTGGGTCTCCCCGTTGAACCCTAAACACAATCACACAGCCTCTTATTCCGAGGTAATCAATCTGAGGTTCCAACTGATACCCTCTTAAAAGCATTAAATATTTGTATTAGATTATGATTTCAAATGGAACTTACTTTTTTATTGAATTACGAAATAGCGTTTATCTTTCTATTTTTAGTTCAACATCTGATCTGGAAACGGTTATTGATATAAGAGAATAGACCGTGACTTCGCGACGGAAACTAAAGTGTCCTTCTAATTTTCTTTGTATTTAAACTGCATTAACCATTGCTGTTGTGCAGTGATATACTTTGCTTTGTAACTTACTGACAGATATTCTTATTGTTTCAAATATAGCTTTGTTTATTTTGAGGAAAATATTTGGTTTGAACATGTTGATTACTAACTGGGTCGTCGTATTAACTGACACACTGGCGCCTAATCAGAGTGCTAGTCAGCTTTGCGAGGCCGTCCGTTTGTGCCCCCATATCTATGTAGAAAATGATGCTGTAATCTACTACTTTGCTTTGTACGTCCAACAACATATTACTGTTTGTTATATGGTGTTTAAAAATGAGGATGATTTAAAACCATCGTTTTTTCATTCCATTTGAATCTGCAGTAGTTTGTGTTGAAGCACTACCTTACAACCCTCCAGTTAACTGCCTATTACAATCCAAGAATAGAGTGAAGAGAGGCGATAAAGGACACTACGGTTCATTACCGTCAAGCCAGAAAAGTGTGCCTTAGTGTGTGGATGAGTGAGTGGATGTAACCAATGAAAAGGGGATGAGTCATTGTCACCGTCAGGTCAATAAACGGGGTTCACTTTGGCGCGATCGCTGTTGATCTGCTACAAATCTGAGCTAAAGTGTCAATTGATAGGCTTGGAAGCGGTCACAGAGCATGTAGTCAAAGTGAGATCCTGCATTAGCGATGCGAACCCTGTGGTCTGCAGTGACGATGTGATGCAGTCCGGATGGACGAAGCCAAATGGTCAGTTGGAACTGCATTAATTTCAATTTATTGGCTGTATATAAAGTAAATATCAAAACCCACCAAGTCGGATGGGTTTGGCTTTTGTGGTATGATTCTCATGTTACAGTTAATGCAATGGTGGCAATTCGATCATTCTTAATTAACTGGAACCCTATCACAGCACCTGTTTTTTGCTATTTTGGTTGCATCGCATTAATCGTTCACCAGATTGAAGGTTCTGTTGCCTTAGCCACTTGAAGGTATATGATCACAGGACACAGTGCTAATGAACAAGACTTGTGGTTCGGTTTATGAGCACGGAATTAAGCAAGCTCGTTTCCCTTAGGGCAATTTCATATCCCTTTGGCTCAAAACGAAATGGAAATCAAGAAAATTACTTCAATAATCATTTATGTGAGTTGGTCGAGGTTAGGAGCTCGGGACAAAAATTTGCAATTCTACATAGCTTTGGCAATGAAGAGTGTGACAGAAGTCATTCCGATTGACGTGCCAAAATGCTCTATTAACGCCTAAGCCGACAATTTGGGATGTTTCATGTAAAACCTTCATCCCGCGACCAACTACATCATTTCTGTGAGATCATGCATCAGAGAGAATCCGTGTGGATATGTATTGGGCTTAACCAAAACAACCATTTCTTGTGAGTCCGGTTAGCTAACTACTTTTAATAAGCAACGGTTCATAGAGAAAAGACGTCATTAAAAGTAAATAGTCAAAGTTAATTATTGATTGCTCTTAAGTTGTTTATATATAAAAAGCACTAAACACATTCATTATTGAGACAATGAGGTTGAAAGTTAGTTTAATGTGAAACAGGTGACAGGAATTGCATGGCTTCAACGGAAGATCTTTTCTTTTTAGCTGATTCTTTGAATTACGTGTCAGTTATCGGTTTGCTTGGGGTTTTCATTGTTGTCGTCATCGTTATTATCCCGTCTGTCGTATTATTCGAAAGACGATAGTAGCCGCGACGACGAAATTGAGTTTATTAATTTTACCTTAGTGTATCACTGATTGTGTGGATGATATTGCTGTTTAAAACAATGAAGAACAGATGAGTGTGCGCAAGGATTGGCAATTAATTTGGTACTCCAGAGAGCTGAAAATCTGCGCAGTGGTCTTGAATCATACAAAATCGATGAGTACCATTCACACACTTGAGTCTTCAAATGGATGGCACGCTTAATTGAACCACTGTAGGCTGTGGGCGTTAGTGCAGATAACGCATTGTACTATACACGCGGATGTTGCAATCACGTATTGCATGTTCATGATGTGTGGTGCCAGGTGAACATGATGGCGTAGGTGGTCGACACTCCAGAGATGAATCCATTGGTTCCGTAGTTGAGAGGTTTGGAAAGACGTAGGTCTCCGTTTAACCCCAACCACAAGGTCTGGCCTGGAAACGAATATTCACACAAAACAGTAGGCTGTGACTTCGTAATGCAAGCTACCACGTCCTTCCATTTCAGCTCAAAACTTTCCTTTTCAATCCATTGACAGACGTTCCTATTATTTTCAATACAAATTCGTATTTTTGAAGACATCCTTGCGTTAAAATTCCGATTGTCACCGTTACTTTAAGCGAATACAATTAAACAAATTGACATTTCGACTTCAACATTATTAAAAGTGCAGCTGTAACTGGGTAAATAAGAGGTGAAACATTGAAGTGATGTATTTAGTAAAATATTCGAACAAACACAAATGACAAAAAACTGGTAGATACGTATAAAAGTTCGAACAAAATGATGATTCTACTGTTTGTCTTGGGAAATCGATTTCTGGATTATACCTGGCCAGGCCATTTTGGTTATTAGATTTTGTGCTCAAATTTGCTTTTGTCAATTTAGTGCAATTCTCAGTCTTAAAAATGGGTGGTAGGCATTTTTAAATTTGTACATCTTGGTTAAGTAATGAGCGAGTAATCAAGACTGTTTATTTCAACAAGAAATGCAGGGCTTTTTGATCGTGACTCAAATATCTACAAAACGCAAGACTACAATTCTTCACAGCTTACAACTGATTTAACGGTAAACCTAAAACGTTTTGGTGATTTCCTGTAAGTCTAGGTGATGCTGTAATTTTTAACCCCAATTTTTCAGAGTCTTGTAACTTGCAGCCTAATCTTGGATTCCGATAATACACTAGATTGATGGCAGTGATGTTAGCATAATTCAAATCACATTTCAGCAACGGGAATTTTAAAAAACGGTGATCACAAGGCTACTTTTCGATATTAATTTTTGTATATACCTTGCATACTTTTGACCCAAGACATTCAAATACTAAAAAACAGCACTAACACACAGTCATTTTAAATAGGTTTCCATACATCAGCGTAAACTAGTATCATGCTCATTGATGTTGCTACGACAGTTGACTAGCTACAGCAAATCAGTTTATTGAGGAGTGAAACTCAATCTGGCCTTATTAAGATATGTCTGATAAAGTTATTACATATTTTTGCTGTTTAATTTAAACGCGAATCGAAGCCTATTCAGTAAACATTGCACAATGCCAAGGTAGCCAATAGAAATGTGAAGTGGTTCACTTGGCAACAAAATTAACTGAGGCACTCATCTTAAAATTTATGTTCTTTGAGGAGGATTAGTTAAAGGTGACAAGATTAACAGAACATTTCTTGTCATTAGCATAAATAACAAATAAATGTTTGCATCGCATGAAATTTCATGAGTCTCTTTTTGACAACTCGTATTTTATTTACCTAAATGTGCTTTTACCTTGTTCTTTATTTGATTAAACTGCAAAGGTGCATGACGTTAAGGCTATTTATTCCAAGGTTCAATTTTATATCAAAACTACTGACGACGCGTAGTGGGACTCAGGTAGAATTAATGGCGAAAGTGCCAAAACTGAAAAAAAAGTCGGTGTACTGCTCTAGGAATACACTTGTTCATACCCACATATGACATTCGCGTAACTTCGTCGGCGGGTACTAGACGCGACCCACTTAGTAACAAATCTATTTTGAGCCACTTTCAAAGTACCCTCAGCTGACGAGTGGCTCGATATGCGAAGAGGGAGGTAAAAGAGTTAACGAGTGAGACCTGAGTGCTTGTGCTGCAGGTAGCGACATCAAGTCAGCACAAATGCAACTAGACACAATCGTAGGGGGAAGCCTAAACTGTCTTCTGATTTGTTTTATGCACTTGGATCAAGCACCTCTGCTGCCCTGACTCAGCAAATGATTCTACTTGAGTGTTATAAATTAAGTTCCTGTTTTATTTGCTGCCCTTCTCATGTGATCTTTTCAAGTAAACGAAAGAACTTTAGAGGTGTGTAAATCAAACAACAATTTCAACTATTGTAGGCGAAATTTTTGTAGATTAGGATACAAACTAATGAACCCAGTTGATGTTTAGAAGCATCTGCTTGTTAAGGAGTTGCGCCAGAACCAAAATACTTGGACAATGCATCTGACAACTCTTAGTAATCGCTGTCAGAAGTGCTAGAAGTTTTGCCACTTTCTGTTTTTTAGACTATGAGGGTTTCACTGGTACATTATAACCGAAACACAATTTGTGATTCACAAAGCCAATTGCAATTGGTTTTTCCTGATTAAAGTGCTAACTGCGACAGCAC